TGGGCCAGCTCCAGGGTGTGCTGACCCTGCCTTATCAGGGACATCTGCAAATTACAGAACACAGAACACAAGGCTGCCCATGGGCAAACAGCAGGGGCCCGCCCACCTCTAAGACACCGGAGGAGGAAGCTCTTGGAGCCAGGTGGGGCAGGTGAGGCATCCCCCTTCCTACTAGAGCAGTGGTTCTCAACCTTCCTGATGCCTCGACCCTTTCATACAGTTCCTCATGTTGGGGTGACCCCTAACCATAAAATCACTTTCGTTGCTACTTCATCACTGTCATTTTGCTGCTGCTATGAATCCTCATGTCAATATCTGATACACAGGATATATGAGGTACCCCTGTGAAAGGGCTGTTTGACCCCCCAAAGGGGTCGCGATCCACAGGTTGAGAACCGCTGTCCTAGAGGGTCCCTGAGACCTCATGTGAGCATCCTAGAGGTACCCACCTGGGGTCTCCACTCACATGGTCATCCCTTCCAACTCCCCCAACCCAGACGACAAGTCCAAGTGAGGTCCTCAGGTTCCCTCTGCCCCTCCCCTGGCCTGGGTGAGGGAGGGGGTCCAGGAGAGACGTGAGGCGGTCTCAAACTCAGGTAGGGCAGGGTGCCAAGCCGCGCCCAGACCCAGGGCCCACCTAGCCACAGGCCCCACCACAGAGAGAGCCTGCTCTCCTGACCCCGCCCCCACAGGTTTAGACTCTGGGAGACAAGGCGGGAGATGTGCCCCTGGGTAACTCAGGGAAGTGCTCCAAGAACCCATGCCTCCCCCTTCCGGGGAAACCAGCTTCCCACCCACTTAATCACCCTGGCTGTTTTCTCCCCAGTCATTAGACCTCGGTGGCTTTTCACTTCCTGCAGGCCATGCACCCCTCTGGGAACCCCCAGAATAATTCTCAAGTGCACCCGCAGACCCAGTCGCACCACCTATTTTGAGGGCTATAGGCCTCAGGTAAGGAGCCCTGGTGGTGTGAGGATGAAGCTCTCGGTTACTGGCCACAAGGTCGGTGGTTCAAAGCCACCAGCTGCTCCAAGAGAGCCAGATGAGGCAGTGTGCTCCTGTAAAGACTGGCAGTCTGGGAAACCCACAGGAGCAGTCCCATAGGGTCTCTGTGCGTCAGAACGGACTCGATGGCAGTGGGACCGGGGGGCTTTGGGGGCCTCCTGCAACTGTATATTCCAAGGAAGAGGGGCCTGGGGCACTGAGAGGTAAGGCCCACCTGGGAACAAGCCAGTGGAGACCCGGAATTCTGGGGGCCCAGCTGCTGGCCCCCGAGGTAGCAGGGATGAGAGGGGTGACTGAAGGCCAAGGGGCCTCCCCGAGACGGCAGGATCAGACCCGAGTCCTTCGAGCGTTGGCCACAAACATGAACATAACAACCAGGAGCAGGCCCGGGGCAGGTCCTTCTTCTGGGCTTTTCCACAGGTGAGCTCACCATTGCCCCTCACCCATCAGGCCTCTGGCCCAGAAGCCACACAGCCAGAACGGCCCCTCAGAAGCGAGACACACAGACCCCACGGCGGCCACAACGGGCTGACACAAATCAGCCCCTGTGAGGACAGCACAGGCCGGGGTGCTGTTTCCTCCTGCCCCACGCCGGGTCACTGTGGGTCACAGCAGATTCAGTGTCACCGAACAGCAGCAGCAGCAAATAAAGCAAAGGAGACACAAGGAAGTGTCTGGTCCCCATGGCCAGGAGCAGGCCAATTGGGGGCGAATCTGACCCCCGGACCGCACTGCCTGCAGCCTGCCATGAACTCTACCCAGGACAAGGGAAGTGAGTTCAGGACACGCTCCGGAGCTGCCCGGGAGGGTCTGTCCCCAAGCAGGCCAGGGCCCTGCAGGTTCCTGCTCCTCACCTGTCTGCTTCATGCTCTCGGGGCCCAGGGCAGTTTCACCAGCTCCCTGGGGCAGCCTGCTCCAGGAGCGCTGCTGTAGCTGGTGGGGCCAGGAGCCCCAGGAGGGAGAGACCCTACGGAGCCAGGCCTGCCCTGGGGCCTGCCTCAGCCACAAGAGTGTGATTGCTCTGCCCACAGAGACCTGGGCCCTCTCATTTTCTCCTTACCCTCCCTCCACGACCAAAGCCAGCAGTATTGACTTGGGGCCGCCCAGGTGTGTCGGATTAAGGCTGCACTTCACAGCAAGCGTCTCAGGGCTGACTTTTTTCCCCCGAAAGCAGGTTTGCCAGGCCTTTCTTCCAAGGGGGCTCGAACCGCCCACCTTCCCATTAGCATCCAAGGTTCATGGGCCCCACACACCTGCATGTCCCCAAAAGTACTCTGGACACCCTCCAAAATGACTTCCTTTCCAGGGCTCGAATGTGCACCCAGACCAGCCCACCTGGGCACAATATTATTATAATCACCTGCCCGCACCGGAGTCCAGGAAGATGCCCGGTTGCAACACCCCCACTCAATCCCTCCCTACACATTACACATGAATGTCTCGCTGGGGCCCCTGAGGGCAGGGGACACTGAGATCCCCACAGCTATTCCCCACTGCTCTGTGTAGGAGACCGGCTGGCCTCCGGTGAGTGACAGGACACTCGAAATCAGGCCAGGAGGACAGGCCCCCACCCTGTCCCCACACAACTGCAACCAGGTGACCCCGAGAGAGCTTTGGCCCCCGGCCAGTGGTGGGACAAGATAGAAAGTGGCCCAAGGCAGTTCCCCAGCCTCGAGGTAAACACCAGGAGCCAGGGAGGCTGCCTTATGGGGGCCAGTGACCACTCACCCCACAAACTGCACTACCAGACACTGCAGCGAGGTGCCCTGCATTAAAGAAAGAGCCAGGGGACCGGCAAAGTACAGGTGATGGTGCAGCCCCGTCCCTCTGAACACAGCCAAACCCAAACCAAACTCACTGCCACCAAGTCCATGCGACCCCATAGGACAGGGGGAACTGCCCCTGTGTGCTTCTCAGACGGTCCCTCATCTTCCTCCTGCGGAGCGGCTGGCGGTTTTGAACTGCTGACCTTGCAGTTAGCCGCCCAACCCATCACCTACAGCACCAAGATGGTTCAAACTCATGGCCACCGAGGGGACTCCAACTCAAGTCACCCCGTAGGAGAGAGCAGGACTGTCCCCTGGGGTTTCCAAGGCTGGACATCTTTACAGCGACAGGCTGCACATCTTTCTCCCATGGATTGGCCAGTGGGTTTGAACCTCCAAGCACTTTAACCACTGTGCCACCTGGCCTTCCAAACAGCTTCACACAAAAATAGCCAAGCAAACCCTCACGGCCACAGAGTCGATTCTGACCCCCAGGGAGCCTCTCGGACAGAGTGGAACTGCTGCTGGGGGCGTCTCAGGCTGCCAGTCATTATGGGAGCAGATAGCCTCCTCTTTCTCCCTTCGAGCAGCTGGTGGATTTGAACTGCCCACTTTGCGGTTAATAGTCCAAGGCTATCTGAGGATGCCTCAGGGCTCCCCCAAAAGGCCAGCGACCTGGGAGGACCCCACAGGGCCCACTGTCCATCCCCACCAGCCTGGAGTGAAGCAGGAGGGGCCGAGGACAGGCAGGGGGCTCAGTGGGTTTGACTGGGCCGGGGATCCCAGGGCCAGGGCTTCACTCACTCGCTTGGCAGAAAGCCCACAACCATCTCGAGTATTTAGAACATGCTAGGGAGGAAGGAGCCAGTGCCAACCCCCAGCACCTCCCCCCTGGAGCCCCCTCCTCCCCACCATCACCCCAGCGGAGAGCCAGGTTCAGGGCATTGTGGGGCCCTGCACTATTCAATCAGGTGGGAGGGAGAGAGGGAGGGGTGTTGAAGGTCTAAGTCACAGATGCCATGGGGTAAGTATCACCTTCAAGAGGCAGCTAGTTTCAGTGACTCAGGGTGGGCTCCAAGGGGAGGGGTGCGGCCAGACTGCAATGCAGGAAGTCAGGGGGGTGACCCCCTGGGCCTCATCAGTCACAACTGAGCTCCCTGACTTTGCCTTCTTATTGAAACAAATTAATCCGAGGTCCTGCGCAGAAAGTCCTCTCTAGCTAGGTAGGTGCTTCCGAGGCAGTACACCTTTCCTGAAGCGAACGGCCTCCACTTCCTCCCAAGGAGCAGCTGGTGGGTTCGAACTGCCCACCGTGAGCAGCAGAGTGCTGGGTCCAGATCTCCCTTTGTCCATCTGCAAAACGGTCCTGTCCTTCCGAAGGCCATGGGCGCTATGAGGGACCCTGGGCGCATGGTGACGGCCAGGTGGCTGCCCTGGGGTAGTTCCCTGGGGAACTGCTAGAGGAGGGCAAGGTGGCCAGCCCTCTGATGGCTGCATGGGACTCACAAGACAGACTAGAGAGGACAAGCGCCATTTGCTGGTGTCCCCACCTGACCAGCTTCTGCCTGAGATAAGGTCGAGCAATAACAGGACTTCCTCTCCAGAAGGGCTGGGCGGCAGGACCACTTCCCACCACTGGAATGAAGAGCAGGGGAGCTGTGCACTTGGACGCCCCAACCCACAGCACACACACACAACACAAATAGTACACACACGTAACACACACAACACATACAGCCCACACACAACACATAGCACATACGTACAACATGTACAGTACACACAACACAGCACACACACCACATACACATAGCACACACAAAAAACACATGCAACACTCAGCATACAACACACAGCACACACACAACACAAGTACACACCAGGGACCCCAACACCCAGGCTGCTGCGCATGGAAAGTTTGCAAAGGCGATGAAGCACTTTGTGGGGACAGAGGGGTTCAGGGAACAGAACACCACCCCGAGCTCAGGGCCAAGCAGAGCAACCAGGCAGTTGCCGGACCTGGACCTCGGTCCGCGCGGGGCCCAGGGGCAGGCCCAGGGTGGCGGCGGCCCGGGGTGCGTGGGGGGGTGTCGGCCTGGACAGGCTCCGCCGGGAGTCCAGGCCTGCAGGGTCCCTGCTGCGAGGGTCCATCCACCCCCGGGGCGCCTCGCCCCCCACCCGGCCGCCTCCGCTCAGGTAGGAAGCGCTGGTCCCGGGCGCGGCGCCCACCTGAGTTCGACTTCCTCATCTTGCCACCACGGCCTCCGCTCCCAGGGAAGTGTGGCCAGCAGGCCGCGGGGCGCAAGCTCCCAGGACGATAATCCCGGCCGGGGGCGGGCAGGCCGGGGCGGGGCTGGAGGAGACCCCGCCCAGACCCCGCCTCGGCCCCGCCCCAGGGCCATGTTGCACCTGGTGGAGCTCGGGTGGGCGGACCGACACGTGCAGGTGGACACTGCCCGGAAGGGTGCGCGCCCCTCGCCCTGCCTTCTCGCCGCGCCGGGCTCCGGCGCGCCACGGGGGGTCCCGGTCTGATCCAGGTGGGGGTCGCCTGCATGGGTCCCGTGCGCCAGCGGCTCCGCGCCCCAGGGACGCACACCCCTGGAGCGAATGGTTTGTCCCTGGGCGGCGCGGTCCCTTGCCGGTAGGGAGCGACGGCTGGGCGGGGCCGGCCTTGTGCCCTGGGGTAGGGGTGGGAGACCAGTGGCCAGCTCTAGGGGGCAGGGCAGGTGAGGACCTTACCTGTCCTGCTACCCAAATAGTAATCTGCAGTGTCCTCTGTAAAATGGGTGGATTGGGCTCTGGGATCATTTATTTCTGTTCCCTCAGGAAACTCAGAACCTCTGAGCTGTGCCAGGTCTGAGCTGGACTCAGTGCTCGGGTGGAAGGCACCCCGCGCCATCACCAGGATCACCCCCTTGGGGAGGGCTGGGGGTGGGGTGAGTAGAGACAGTGGTCAGGATGTGCGCTCTTGGCAGGAATGGTCGCAAGAATGCTCCACTTTTGTAACATTGTGGCACGATTCCAGCGCCCGTTTTCTTTTTCCTCTGGTTTACTGTACAGAGGAGAGCGTGTGGGCTTCCCCGTGGAGGTGGTGTGAGAGGGTTTTGAACAGACCAGGCCTCCCGGGATCTGTAGGAGTTTGCCATCCCAGGTGAGAGGGAAGCAGGCTGTCCCAGGCAGGGGGAGGGCGAGGCTGAGCCAGGGAGGCACAGACAGACAGACAGACAGACAGACACACACACACACTTGCGACAGTCCCTGTCAGCTGGACAGCTGAGAATCCCTCAGATGCCTCTGGTTGGGGGGAGGGAGGAGGCAGCCCGGAAGCCTATGGCTTCTCAGGAATGTGTCCCAGAGACAGAAAGTGTGACACAACCCCAACTTCCTCTTCCGCCTCCCTGTCCTTGACCCTCGGGCAGGAGCCTGGGGTGGGGGGTGGTGTTTCACTTCCTGTAGGAATGTGGGAGAGCTCGGTGCTGGGTGGCCCTCGCCCGTGGCTCAGGGAACCCCCCTGAGGTTGTGGGGGTCTGCAGATGTTGGAGCAGGACCCTCAGCTCACGAAGGATCCTCCCAGTAGCAATGGCCTTCATGACAGACCTCAAGACCTGCGGCTGAGACCTTGGAGAGCTTCAGAGAGGCCCTTGGGAATCCCACAGAAAGACCCTCAACGGAGCTTGAGGACCATGGGCCTCTGGGGGCAAGCGGCAAAACCCAACCTCGGCCACCTTCACGTCGACGCCCAATCCTGGCCACCCAGTACGTCCCGCCCAGGAGAACCGCGCTCCCTCCGGTTATCAGGGAGGTCGCCAGGCCTTTCTTCCGCAGCACCTCGGTGTGGACACCCACCCCCAACCTCTCAGTTCGCTTCCACCACCCGGAGACTCTGGTTACGGCAGTAATACAGAGCAGAGGGTCCAGGGAGGAGGAAGCCCCTCAGGGAGGTGGATGGACGCAGTGGCACAAACCTAACCAGTGCTTCCTGCGGTGGCACCGGGGGTAGCTAAGAGTTGGACCCGACTCAGTGACACTTCACAGTCACCACCAGGAGCTGCACCTGCCCCAGGGGTGGCATTGTTCTATCCACTGATTATTCCGCATTGCTCTTTGGTTGCCCTGTAGGGTAGTGATTCTCAACCTTCCTCATGTGCGACCCTTTCACACAGTTCCTCATGGGGTGGGGACCCCCAACCACAACATTATTTTCGTTGCTACTTCATCACCGTATCACTGTCACCCCTGAGACCCCTAAAGCCCGAGAGTGCCTGCTGGAAAACCCCGCCAGTGTACCAGCCCAGGGGGTGGGGGTCTTTCCCTGAGGAAGCAGGCTGTCCCTGAAGTGAGGATGGGACCTAATTGCCAGAGTGGGTGGGGGGCCCGGGTCTTCCTAAGATGACGGAACCCTTCTGGTACACTGGGCTGTTTGAGAGTGTAACTGGCCCAGGAGGCGTTCACAGTGAGAGATGACGAGAAGAAACCCGGCCATTGGAAAGGCGCAGGACTGTGGTGGACATGTTTTCTTGAATGCACAACTCAGAGTGCCAAGCGCAACCACAGCTGGGCAACCATGCATACTGGGGCTTCAGAAAGCTCGTGGGAACTGGTACGAGAAGAGACTGCAGCTTCCCACCCACTTCTTGCAGCCCCCGGCCACGTCTTGTGCCCACGGAGTCACGGAAGCACAGTCCTACGGCCCCCCTACAACAGACTGGAGAGCCAGGCCGATGAACCAAACGCATCTTGGAGTCATGCCCCAAGGGCCCTGCAAAAAGTGGGCCGAAAATGTCCATTCTCTTTTCATTTTCACCCCCACCCCCACCCCGGAACTTTCTGGAGCCCCCTCATCATGTAGACGGGCAGCAGCAGTGGCAACAGCTCTGGTCCAAATGGGCGTGGCCACCCAGGCCTTTACCTGGACAGCATGGAGAGCCAGCCTTCCCCAGAAAACAGGGAGTGAAATGGCCCTGGGGCAAAGGCCCTGGGGCAGGACTTGGCAGTCCTTGGCCCCAGGAATAACTGAAGGTGCATGCGGGATGCCGGAGTCCAGGGTGAGGGAGAGGAGCAGCCGAGGCCCGGGGCCTGGCGAGTGGGCACGTCCAGGCCTAGGATGCGCTCTCAAAGGGAAGTCTGGGAGGTTCTTCCTTCGAGGGTGTGTAGCAGGAGATCCAGGCCGGTGGGAGCAGCATGAACCAACTGCAGAAACATTCAGGAAATAAAACCAAGGGATCAGAGCAGCTGGAGGAGGGAGTCGGCAGGATGGCTCGAGAGTCAATAGAGCAGCCGGTGGCCGGTGGTTCCATGTCAGGAGAGGGTCTCTTGGAAGGAGATGGCGGGGTCTCGGTCGTGTCCCAGAGGCTGGGTCTCAGCTAGAAACATCACTGGTAGTCACCCTGGCAGGGGTGGACGCCCGCAGCAGGGGCAAGGATGCAGCAGGCAGCCCTGCTGATGGGAGTCGGACAGGCTGCTTGGTTTCATTGGGTGGGAGGTGGAGTGAGCCGCCCTTCGAGAAGACAGGCACCGGGGCTCCAGGGCTGTACTTCGGGGCTAAAACAAACAATCAAAAACGCACCAGGACAAAACCAGAACTTCAGGAACGCAGCTCACCCACCGAGCTCCTCTTGACCGCGGCTGGCATGGGGCGCCGGGGTAGCGGGGCCTCGTCTGCGGGGCTTATTACATGTTGCGTGTGTGTCTGTGTCCTTTTCAACCTCTCTGTTCTTGACGTGAATGACGGTAAGAAGAAGAATTTGTTTTAATACCGTATGGCACATACCTGTCAACCTCCAGAAAACAATTAATTAGAAGTCCTTTCCCATACCCAGATGGCTATTAACAAATGTTACGGTCAACAACGAACTCTCCTTTATTCATAAACACTGTTAACAAATAATATGATTATTTTTTTACTCCGCAGGGATTTTTCTCTGAGGTCAATGTGGATCAATTTTCTTTATTTTTTTGAGCCTCTGATATTGTGTCTTAAATGAGTGAAATCCCTTTCCCGTGAAAGGGGTCTTGGTGGGTTAGGCTTTGGCCTGCCAACTGCAAGGCAAGTGGCGGGGACAGTCTCGGGAACCCAGGGCACAGGTTCTGTTCTGTCCCAGAGGCCGCTCTGGGCGGAATCACTGGGGCACCGTGGGTTGACACCCACGGCAGGCCCCTTCCCCGGGCTGGAGCCACTTACCCACTAGCTTTGCAAGAGTCTTCGGCCCTTTGCTTCAAACAGCAGCTTTCCAGGGAGAACACATCATAGAAACTGCGCCAGGGCCTGGATTCAGCAGACTCCTCCCCACCCAGCACCTAGGAAATCAGTCGCTCTGGGGGTGGAGCTTTGGATGACCCCCCCCACCCCACCCAGGATGGTTCCAATGGGCTGAGCCAGAGGCCTGAGGGTGGAGATGAATGCCCAGCTGGGCTCCTATAAGCCCCATGCACCTGAGACCACCAAGACCACCACTGGAGTTCCCTGCCCACCCCACCCCCAGGGCTGACCCCTGGAGATCCCAGCCCCTCCTGCCAAGGCAGATGCCTGGAGGCTGAGATTGAGAACTCAGCAGGTGCCCCAGTGCAGACCCCACCAGCAGTGGGTTTCCCTAGAATCCCTGGCCTGGATCCCATCCAACTGCTGCCCCGAGAAGGCTTGCAGGGGGGAGGGGGGTTGGGGGGTTAGGGAGGAACATAGGACCTAGGCCACCTCTAGCCTCAACCTGGTGTTCTCCCCAGCCCTCCTTGCCAGCCCCCTCCCCGCAGCTGAACAGACGAAGGGGCTGGGGAGAGCTCTGGAAAGGTGAATGGGGGCCCAGCAGGCTCTAGACACCCCTCCTTCCTGCCTCTCCCTGGGGTGCCTTCTGCAGGGCTCCCGAGAGCCACCACAGGGTGTATCCCACCCACCTTAGTGGGTGTCGTTGTTCTCAGAAAGTGGACTTGGAGCAGGGTGGCCAGGCATGCAGAAACCAGACCCTGATAGCTGGGCTGGAGCATGTTTAAGGCCCACAATATTTCCCAGACTTACCTGACCTCGCAGCACCTGTGGGTCTCAGGGCACATCCTTATACCTGGGCACTCAGCCAGCCTGGGGTGGGCAGTCGCCACTGCAGGGGACACATCAGGACCTAAGTTCAGCCTGTGAGCCAGACTTCTCTGCACTTGACCTGGCCCTCTGTTGGGTTTCCTAGGTGGACACCCTGCTCCCCTCCCCAGAGGGTAGGGTCAGAGGGAGACCCTCAGCCAGGCTTCCACAGGGAGGCCCCACAGTGCGCCCCAGGCTCCAGTTTAAGTCT